GGGGGGGGGGGGGGGGGGGGGGGGGGGGGGGGGGGGGAAGGGGGACTGATTAAAATATCAAATGAATCGGCAAGGTATCGAAACCATTACCGTAATTAAAGAGCCCGTGTGCAAAGTGACAGAGGAATATCTTTTTACAGGTTTACAGATATAGTTGATACAAGATAACCAGTTGGAAAGTATGTTTGCGGTGCTATCGTAATTATGGCGATGCGAACTTTTCCTACACGGGAAAGACCGTTATTTGGCATACTGCGCGCGAGAAGATACATGAATTTGTCCACGCAGCTGATGCCGCGCGTGTCTTGCCGCTCAAAAGCGTGTAAGAAATTGCACTTGCATATGTGTACAGCGGCGACGTAAATTTATTATAGATATCATAGGCGCGCCATAAAAGATCTCTCTCTCTCTCTCTCTCTCTCTCTCTCTCTCTCTCTCTTCTATTCTCATTTGTTTGCCATTAGATTATTAGAACGAAAATAACCTGTTAAAAAAGACTTGTGTTGTTTGATTTGATTTCTGAATATTATTCACACACATTTCAATAATTTCTGAATCATATTTGACTTTGAATTATGTTTGACAAGAACATTTCCGAGTCACACCGAACCTTATTTGAACACATCTAAAAGTGATTACTCGCTTCTCGCATGCGCCGTTGCGTGCTGCTTAACAGGAAACTCGAATATTTTTTAATATTGACTCATAGTCAGCCCTTGGGACCCAACATCCAAAGATCTTTCTCTCAATCGTTGACACGTGTAAATATATCTGTCAAAATTGATCACCTTTTTTTTACGCTCTCATTTATCGCGACCGTAACAGCCGTTACATATTGATTGATATGTCTATGACAGTAAAGAAAGGAAAATAAAAAACGTGTGCTTTTAGCGCGTTTAGTTAGTCTATTACGATTAGAATTGCAACTGCAGTTAATATATAACTTTGCTCTTCATAAGCGGCCATATAACTCGTATGGTCCTTGTTCGATTTACATAGCCGTTCGATTTACATACTTGCGTCGTCAACGTTTCCTTCGCCTCTTCATAAAGACGGACGGACGCACGCATACTCGAATCCAGTTGCGTCTGGATTCCCTGATAAACCGTTATAATCGCCGCAGATCGACTATTGAGCGGGGCAATGACGGCACGTCGCGCTCTCGAGAGTTTAGCTCGTAGCAGAACCGATGCCCGATGAACCCGCTGCCCGACTTGAACAAATGAGACGAGCCTTTTGCTATGTTCGGCAATGCGATCGTAAATTGCAGTCGATTTGTAAATAGTCCGCAAAGAAGCGAACTTATCAGCTATTCAAGAACTGCGGTGCGTAAGCTTACTATGCGTTTTTCTTTTACAAACTTGCATTCCTTGCGTCGTCTCTCGTCGCGAAAATAATACTCAACAAAGGAACGTTGAGGAAAGTCGTTTTTATCGAACATAATATCTTTTTTCTTCTTTCAAGAGCCAATACTGTACTTGATTATCGACGCATTTGCTTCCGCTGCGTGACGTTACTCGATCCCGAAAGTTGACACTGTCACCTCTGAACTATCTTTTGAAACATTGCGACGTCGTGGCGAAATAGCCAACGGAATTCACTCACGAGTGCCCGCGCAACCAAGGAAGAGTTCTCTTCGCGCGAGTTCTCACGACGCAATCGGAAGCGCGACGCGGCATTCTCCGAATCTCAGGGCCCAATTATCCTGTGGCGCGATTGCGTCGCTAATTGAACGCGAGTACTCGCACGGCCGCTTGCTCCAGTTAAGCGCCTAATTGCACTGTCTCGGGGACGGACAATGGCGCATTGCATAAAAGCGACTGTATAACGGGGGGGGGCGCGTGAGCCCGTCGCCAAGTATAATAAACTTTCGCGATTCGTGCGATCGCTTTCCGGTGCTTCCCACGAGTTCGCTCATCCGACGCTCATGGTTGCGTCACACGTCTAGTTCTGCGATCGTTTGCGCCTTCGAGAACGCGATACAATTTCGCGTTAGCTTGACGATTCCTAAACGATTAATCTGAGAATTCAATATGGTTGAATTCGAACAAAATATTAAAATTCATATTCCCTTCTCGTCCGCTACATCCTTGCCTCTCTCGCGTATCGTGTCGTTTTACATCGGAGCGATTTATAAATGGCATTGTTACCATATGGCGACTGGCGAATCCACAGAGGCCCTAGTTTCTGCAAAATTTCACCAAATAGGCGCGAAAAGTAGCGTGGGGTTCGAGTTACGGCGTATTGTTAGAAACCGAGATTGTTAAAAAGAAGAATAGATGTAATTGTTACGGACGGTATAGGCTTGATATAATAGATGCGAGTGTGTGGTGCAACATAACGCGTCATCGATAATAATCTCGCCAAGAGTTTATCTCGCCGCTCGGTTACGCGGCGAGGTATGCGACTGCTCCGTGGCACAATTCAGCCGCAGAAACCGTAAGGAATTTTATGGGAACCGGTGGTGGTGGCGATGGTGTGTGTATTCAGCGCGTCCAGAAACGGCGCATATCTTCCGCATTCTCTCGCAATTATGACAAACGTTTGGCACGAGTATGAAAAGTAAGAAGAAAAATAAAAAAAAAAAGAAGGAAAATGTGATGGCGAGTAACCATTAAGCGCGCATACGGTGTACGCGTCGTCGATTGTCCGACCCGCCCGATCTTTCCTCCGCGTAGATTAAACGTACAGCGTGTCGCTAGATACGTTAATGACGAAAGCGGTTAGTCGCGCGCAAACAAGTTTCCGAAAGAAATTGAGAAGCTCCGAGAAAAAGTCGCGTCTGTCCGTTGTGATGACTTCGCGATAGCTCGGTCATTTCATAGCTCGATCATTCGCATGCAAGATTATCAACTTACTTGGGATTTCTCATCTGTTGCAGGAATATGCTGATAAGAGAATTGGCGGCCGTTTTGGTCGCCGTCCTCTTGTGCCATCTGCAGCTAACGGAGTCTCAGGTGAGCATACGCGACTTTATATTGATTAAATTCACCTTGTCGCAAGAGGAGCGCATGTTTTTAGGCTTTGTCTCTTGTGAACTTTTGGCGTTTGTGTGATGATACGAGTTGCGCGTGTCCTCATCATAAATGATTGCTCGTGATTATTTATCGCCGATGTTTTGTAACCTAATTTAATCGCGATACAACTCGAGAATTATTGAAATCGTGCCTGGCTAATCGATCGAAAATCGATTATTCAACGTATTCTTCATCCACATTGCGACCCTACCGAGCAAGAAAAACATGCGAGGGCGACCTCGAGCGCGGGAAATAAACGCCCTTCCTCTCCTCTGGGGATTCGTTTTTCAACCGCGGGTTATGAAGTAATTGGTATGTCAGCGGCTGCGGTGGCGGCTCCATAGGAGTTACCGGTGCCGGAGCTCGTTTCCACGAGATGTGGCATATGTGAGGTGAAAGTGAATTTCAACGTACAAGCGCGCTGCGAGTGCCGCACAATCCGCACACAGTTACAACATTTTAACTGCGGAATGTGGTAGTACGCGATACGCGAGAGAGCGCGGCGAAAACGCGGAGGGACCATTGGCACTGAGAAACTGAGCATTTCTACGTCCCTTCTCAGCAAATGTTTCCTTGAGAATATAGGTGATATTAATATAGGTGCTATTCCGCCTATATTTTCTGACTCGTCCAACAATTTTAACCTGTACAGACACTTGAAATCCTTGTAGGGATGTCGATCAAATTCGGACATTCCCTTCTCGTAAGATTCAGACATCGGTCCAGCGTTTTCTGCTTTTCTCGATCGCTTTCGCAATTCGTTGTGAACAAATGGGAGGTTGCGGCGTGATCGCCGCAATCGTAATACTGCTTACGGTCTAGTCGATTCTCGCGCGCGAACAAACTTGTGCACGAGACCTTCGTCCAGCTGGTGCAACTCGCACCTCTCGTAGGAATGTGATCACCGTTATATCACTGATACACGTGTACAAGCTAAACGACGTCGAAATGCAGAGACGGCCGGAGTGCGTGCGTTTGAGCCATGCTCTCGCAAATGTACAGATACTTTGCACGCGCTCTCTCGTGAGATAGACGCTCGAAACGAAGATGGTTTAACAAAATATTCACTTTCTCCTGTATCGTGTAACAATGCGTTGGTCCGAGTTTAGTACGTTGTATTCTAATGATATCTTGAATCGATGGACACGCTTGTCGGAATTTAATTTTAATAATAATCTTAACAATCTTAAGAAATAGCGCGTATGTCGTTATGTATTGTAAATATAGTCATAACAAAATCACTCTTACAATTAATTGACAACTCGTGAAACCTCCTTTGTTCGCTTGTTTATTTTTCCCCAAGTTTTCTGTACTACATAGTGCTACAAACTGACAACTCAAATCGCCTCGACTACACCAGACTCGATTACACTCGACGCATCGCTTTTGTTGCAGGTTCCTGCTACAAATGTCTTCACCTGTCCAAGCGGTGAGTATCCCGGAAGAGGGTCATATGTATTTACGCTCAAGCTAGCGAGTCAAACTCTGCCCTCCGAAATATATGGATCCAACATATCGAAATATCGTGGATAACACATACAATGCGAGGAAAGATCTCGAAAATTTCAAATTAGCGCGACAAAAGTGCACTCAATTGTATCTAGTTAGTCCAGGGACATCGTAGAATCATCATCGTCGAAATTAGAGTCCCTATAGTAAGAATCTGGCCTATATTGTCAAACTTTCTGTTGATTTTGACAAAATATAGCGGAGCCAATAAGATATCTCGAATCTATGTTTTGCGAGCGATATTATTCAAATGATAGGAAAGGAACAAGAAAGAAAGAAACGTATTTTCAATCATTTTCTGTAATTTATATATATTTTATATTATACATTCGATACAATATGATAGGTTAGAAAATTATTTTTGATACATAATTATTATTCGACATATTCGCATTCATTACAGTGTTTATATATATTATTTTATTATAAGATATTTAACTACTTCTGCTGTTTATTACTTCTTTATATAACTATTATTAGTATTTTAGTACTAATAAACATTAGTCTTGATTAATAATGTTTATATGCTTTATGAGTTCTCCATATCTTAGAGAAGTCTTATTTTGGCTGCGTTCCGAAATTTATTGCCAATATTGAAAATCTATAGTTCATATTACGTATACTATAGAATTTCAGTACGGGCAGTGAATTTCGGAACACAGCCTTCATATCATCTAATTTTATCTTATCTTATCTACGACGCCATGTTTTGTCGAACTAGAAACATAGGTCAAACTCTTACTATAGGGACTCTAGTCGAAGTAGCCAGTCAAAATTAGACGACTACAAAGGAACAACGGCAGCCGGTAAAATCGGATAATTACGAATATACCAGTGGCAATTATACACACGCTGACCGCACCAGTTTGGAAAACGAAGCATGCACGCGTGTCCGATAAATAAATCTCGCGAGAGACAATGAGGATAAGAGTTCGGCCATTCGTAACGCTGCTCTACTTTTCCCCGTTGCTCGTCGTTGCAATTAAAGTAGGTTGCACGTACCATATGTGGGGCCGGCCGGTCATTAACCATGAGTCGTCGCGTGTACTGGAAAAATTGCAAGTGCTATTTTCTTCCGTTTCCGCGTACGTTTTCTACTCTCTCTCTCTCTCTCTCTCTCTCTCTCTCTCTCTCTCTCTCTCT